GATGGATCTGGGATATCAGCGGCAATTAACCGCTACAATTGAGGACTGCGACGATGATGAGTCAACGACGTCGGGACGCGGATGACGATGATGATATGTGGAACGGCGGCGAGTTGAGGCCATTGACGACGGCCTTGACTGGTGTTGATGAGAAGATCGAGGCGGACGAAACTGAATCCGACCGAAATCAGCGATTGTGACGGGATGCGACGACGACCTTTAGAGAGAGACCATGAACGACCACGAATGGGCAACAACGGCGACCTGGTATTGGCGTCGTAGGTGGAGCCAACAACTTCTTTCACCGTGGCTGCTGATTGACGAAGACGACGAGACAAAAGACAAAACTTGCGGAAGCTCAAAACCCTAACAAAGGATCGAGTTTTGCTCTGATACCATGTAGAATTTGATGATGCGGAATTGAAAATAACACGGGACAACGAGTTTTACGTGGTATCCTCGATCGATTGATTGATCGAGACTAATCCACGGTGAGCTCGGAACGAGCTCACGACTGATGTTTTATTATACGACTACATCTTGACAGCTTGCTTACGACATGTTCGTAGCTAAGCTTATATAGAGATAGACGTAGGGTTAAAACCCTAAGAACAACCAAGTTTCCTTCTTTTACTTGAACAAGGAAAACTAGAGACTTGTAGGACAAGGAATTAATTACTTTTTGACTAAGTAATTAATATCCTCAACATAACTTAACATATCCAATTTTTTAATTAGGTGCAAAATCCCAAACAACATTTTACTCAAGATCGATCCTAAAAGAGAAGCCTTTTCTTGAAAAAGTTGCTGCAAACTACAACAGCGCCGAAGTATCATCGTCGACAGTAGCGCCGCCGCCGCATGCCCTCATCTTCAGCATGTTCGTCGCTGTTTGTGGCTCCTTCGCATATGGGGTTGCTGATCCTCTCTTACGCCTCCGAGATAAAGTCCCCTTTCCTGATCCTCGACCTCTCCAAGCCCCGGGCCGTCGACGTCACCTGGATCCAGGCCGGTTACCTGGTTCATTGAGGAAGAAAGGGAATTGAACAAAAGGTGCAAGACAATTGCATATTTCTAGAATCTCTGCGAAGGGGTTCTTCTTCGCCACTATCTCCCCTGCAGTTTCTTTGTATCGAATTTGAACTTCGGCCACGAGAATGCTAGCTTCGGAACAATTGATGGAATAGTCCTCTTCCCTCTCCAGTCAAACACATTAAACCCCATCGCCGCCCCGATCGAATTCCACCCTCGACGCTTAAATCAAGAGACCCACTGAGCCCCGTCTCCGTCGGCGCTCGGGTGCCACAGCCGTGGCAGCGAATGAACCAGCAGCCTTTCCCGGCATTGAACGCGATCAACACCAAATCATCCGTGTGATCTAACCCTAACGAATTGCAAACCTCGAAGTTTGGGCATTCAATCGGCGTGGGTTGATCAGAATATGTAAGAATCGAACCCACAATCGATATTGGGTAGCTTTGATGATGACGATGGACTTTCAGTGACACGATGACAGTGAAGTTTTGCTATTTTTTAAGACTGCTTTTTGGAGCTGCTACCAGAGGAATAGATGAATCTTTGATTCATTAATCAAACGAGGCAAATTTATTCCCTTGACGATGACTGTGTAATTAGGGGTAGCTGAGGTCTCTTGATGAAGATGTTGAAATTAGGGTAGCAGTGTGGCTTGCATATGATGATCGCCTTTGATGATGCTATGCCGTATCAGGTTGATGAGGGCGTTTGATTGATTAATCCTTCCTAAGAAATTTTAATGGACAAACATTTATCAATTATATAACTTTTGGGTGTTGAATACTAGGCCTCTTAGAAATACGGTATTAGATACAAAATATAGTGGTAAAGATTGTTGAATGATTAAATTGTAAGTATAATTATTCATAGGATGATGATGGTAATTATTATTGTTGGTAAATAAATAATTTTAATAGAATTAATAAACGCCGTTAGATTAGATCAACGGTGAGAAAGCCTGGAGCATGGTATGCGTCTGGAGCATACGAGTCGTATCCATATATATATATAATTGCAATTGAAAGAGAAACTAATACTACAATTAATACAAATGGCCATCTATTTCCTCCACCCACGTTGCTACTTGTGGAAGATGGAAACACAAATTTAATTCCATTGGCCCATGCATTAACTCTTGCCTTCTTTTTCTTCTTTCACAGATGGGATTGGAGACATGATGATATTTGAGAAGCTCCCAAACATGCCATGTCTCTAGTATAAATGCATTAGGTGGCTTTTCTTGTCAATATCCTGTTGGTAAAGTACTCCTCCATGTGAAGTTTATTCACGTCAACTTTGGTAGGCTGAATTATGTGGTGTTCCTGTACCAAGCTTGGAACCCTCCACTTTTGTTTATTTATTATTATATTTTTTAATTGCAAATTATCAATCAACAAATACCTGCTTTGCTTCCTCCGATGAATGACTCCGAAGTTGAAAGTCAGTGCCTAGAGAGCAAAGTTTTTTCTATTACAACTTACTGGTTGGTTATTTCAACCTGAAGAAACGCCTTCTGATTGTCATAAAGCCAACACCAATATGTTGTTTCGCCTGGAGTAGTGATGTGATCGCAATGGGTGGAGCGGGACGGGTATATGAATATCTAATCTTATCTTGTATTAAGCGTGGGTCAGGTCGGATAAAATCAGTGTGGGTATGGAGCGGAGTAGGTCCGACCCATTCTTATATGTTATTGGAGAAAAGAATGTTGATATTCAATTCTTTTACAATAAGACGAAGAGAAAATATTTCATAAATGAATCATCGAAATATTAAAAGGAGCGATTTAGTCTAAATATTTGAAAGTTGGAGTCTTAAACTTTGTTTGGGATGAAAATATGATTTTAGAAAAGTCAAAAGAGAAAATATGATTTTACTAGGATGGAATTTTCAAAACATGAATTAGTTGTGGATATACGGGACCTTGGGAATAACTTAACCTTTAATTTTCACAAATCCATGTACATTTCGAAATTATGATTATCTTAAAAGTTGTAGATCTTGAAAAGTTATGCGGAATTAAAAAAAATTCATGACGTTCGGATTTTGGAGCACAAAGTTAAGGCCGCCCAAAGTTTGATGAAATCAAAAAAAGGCTCGTTCGGGGTAGCAAATGACGTTTTTTCGAGACGAAGGCGGGACCAAACTGCCTACGGCTGTTTGCAGCTTGCAAGATCTCGAAAAGTTATTCGGATTAAAAAAAAAATCCGCTACGATCGGATACCCGAGTGCAAAGTTACGTTCGTTTGAAGTTTCGGCCGAAATTAGGAGTTGATCGAAAAAAATGGACCAAACCGCTGGGTGGGTTGGCGGTTTGGACCAAAACCGCCGTCCCACCCAGCTGTTTTTATAGGTTTTTATAACCGCCCCTAGGCCAGCGGTTTGCATAGAAAATCGTGCCCCCCGCCCAGCGGTTTTCGTGTAAACCGCAGGGTGGGGTGACGGTTTTGAAAAAGGTGGTATTTTTGGATTTTTTTTAAACAGTGGTACTTTCGGATTTTTCCCCAAAAAATGAATTCACCCAAATTGGTGCTTATTGGGCTTAATCTTCGGTTGAGAATAGGGTCAATAGAATTCATTATCGTTGGAAAATAGCCTCTAGCTGAATTTGTGATCTATAGCCTTACAAACGAAAGAAAATTACATTCGGGAAAATCACCTGAAATCTATGATGATGCCTCTTTAGAGTCTGCCCAAAATGGACTTGAAGAAATCCGCATAAATCGGTACTTAATGGACTTAATCATCGCTGAAGAATAGTTGATCTGTAACCTTCATAATCCAAGGAATACGGGCTTTTGAAAAAATTCTCCCTAAAATTTTTGAAAATGTCAGGCGAAAATGAATTCATCCAAATTGGTGTTTAAAGTACTTAATCTTCGGTAGAGAATATGATCAATATAATTCATTATCTGTGGAGAATAGCCGCAGGCTGAATCCGAGATATGCAGCCTTCAAAATAGAAAAATGGCATTTCGGGAAAATCACCCAAAATTGGTGATGATACCCCCTTTAGAGTTTGCCAAAAATGGACCCGGAAGAAATCCACCTAAATCGGTGCTAAATGGACTTAACCATTGTTTAAGAATAGCCTTAGACTGAATCCGTGATCTATAGCTTCAAAATCCTAGGAAAATGGCATTTTGAAAAAAATCTACCAAAAAATTAAAAAAATGCCATCCGAAATGAATTCGCATAAATCAGTGCATAATTGACTTAATTTTCCGTGGAGAATAGGATCAATAGACTTCAATATCAGTGGAGAATAGCCTCGGGCTGAATCTGTTATGTGTAACCTTCAAAATCGAAAGAAAATAACATTTCGGGAAAATCGTCCTAAATCCGTGATGGTACCCCTTTGGAGTCTGCCTAAAATGGACACGGAAGAACTCCGTCCAAATCAGTGCTTACTAGACTTTATCATCGTTGAAGATTAGCCTCGGGGAAAATCCGTGATATGTAGCCTTCAAAATCCAAGGAAAATTGCCTTCCGAAATAAATCGCCCGAAAAATTACGAAAATGCCATCCAAAAATGAATTCAACCAAATCGGTATTTAAATGTTTTGATCTTCGGTAGAGAATAAGATCAATAGACACCATCAAATGTGGAGAATAGCCTCGGGTTGAATCCGAGATATGTAGTGTTCAAAATAGAACGAAAATGGTAGATAGGAAAATCGTCCGAAATTGGTGATGGTATCCCTCTGGAGTCTGCCAAAAATGGACCCGGAAGAAGTACGCCCAAATTGATGCTTAATGGACTTAATCATCGCTAGTGAATAACCTCAGGCCGAATCAGTGATTTGTAGCCTTCAAAATCCAAGGAAAATGATCTTTCGAAAAAATTGCCAGAAAATTTACGAAAATGCCATTCGAAAATAAATTCGCGCAAATCAATGCTTAATGGACTTAGTCTTCGGTGGAAAATAGGATCAATAGCCTTCATTGGCCTCTCTGTGAATACGTGATTTGTAGCCTTGAAAATCAGAAGAAATGACCTTTGGGGAAATTCGCCTGAAATCGCCGATGGTTCCCATTTGGTGTCTGCCAAAAATGGGCCCGGAAGAAATCGGCCAAAGCGGCGCTTAATGGACTTAATCATTGTTGAAGAATAGCCTCAGGGCGAATCCGTGATATGTCGCCTTCAAAATCCAAGAAAAATGGCCTTTCGAAAAAATAGCCCAAAAAATTACAAAAATGCAATCCGAAAAATGAATTCGTCCAAATTGGCTTATTGGGCTTAATCTTCGGTGGAGAATAGGATCAATAGACTTTATTATTGTTGGAAAATAGTCTCGGCCTGAATTCATGATTTGTAGCCTTAAAAAATGAAAGAAAATGGCATTTCCGGAAAATCTCCTGAAATCGGTGATGGACTTTGGAGTCTGCCAAAATTGGACCCGGAAGAAATCCGCACGAATCCATGTTTAATGGACTTAATCATTGTTGAAGAATAGCCTAAGGCCAAATTCGTGATCTGCAGCCTTCAAAATCCAAGAAAAATGGATTTGTGAAAAATATCGCCCAAAAAATTACGAAATGCCATCCAAAAATGAATTCCCCCAAATTGGTGCTTAATGGACTTAATCTTCGGTGAAGAATAATATCAATAGACTTCATTATCGTTGGAGAATAGTCCTCGGCTGAATCCGTAATCTGTAGCCTTCAAAATCGAAAGAAAATGACATTTCGGAAAATCACCCTAAATCCGTGATGGTACCCCTTTGGAGTCTGCCCAAAATGGACAAGGAAGAACTCCGCTCAAATCGGTGCTTACTGGACTTAATCATTATTGAAGAATAGCCTAAAACCGAATCCGTGATCTGTATCCTTCAAATTCCAAAGAAAATGGCATTTCGAAAAAAAAATCACCCAAACAATTATGAAAAATGCCATCCGAAAATGAATTCGCTCAAATCGGTGTTTAATGTACTTAATTTTCAGTGGAGACTAGGATCAATAGACTTCATTATCGGTGGAGAACAGCCTCGGGCTAAAGCTGTGATCTATAGCCTTCAAAATCAAAAGAAAATTACATTTAAGAAAAATCGCCAGATTTGGAATCTGCCAAAAATGTCCATGGAAATAATTCGCTAAATCGGTGCTTAATAAACTCACTCATTGATGAAAAATTGCCTAAGGCCGAATCCGTGATCTATAGCCTTTAAAATTCAAGGAAAATGGTCTTTCGAAAAATCGCCTAGAAATTACGAAAATGCATTCTAAAAAAATCCACCTAAATCGGCAATTAATTGACTTTATCATTGGTGGAGAATAGTCTCGACCCGAATCCGTGATACGTAGTTTTCAAAATCCAAGAAAAATGATCTTTCGAAAAATAGCCCAAAAAATTTCGGAAATGCCCTCTAAAAAATTCGTCCTAAAAACTATAGGTTGACAACCTACTTTGAATAGTTGAGTTCCACTTTCTTCCATTACAAAAACATAAATTCAATACCAAGATAATTACAACTAATCTTATTTCAACTAGAAAAAAATAATTAATATTGACCTTGCCAAGCTATACCACGGTGGTATTGTTTCTTATTATATAAGAGCATTCTATGTAGTATGGAAGTGTATTATGGTGGTATGAACATGTCAAATTATAGTACGGTTGAATATATGATAGTAGGACTTTATAAACCGTTATTTACAATTTTCAACATTGTGTACCAAAAGATATATACCACCCTGGTATAGGGGGTGGTGTTTTTTGGTACTGTATTTTCCCCCCAGAAATTTGTAGATCCAATAGATTTGATGAACTCGTTCGTTCTGTATAAATTTTTTCAAAATCTACTTAAAAACGTAGGAGATACCATATAGTATGGAGATGCTAAAGAGTGGTATGAGTGATATGAATTTTTTTTCCTCAAAATACATTGAAATGAATATCATTTTAATTAAAGAGTTTAAAGAGTACAACGGACTCGTTCCATCTACGCAAAAATTGAATTCTAAGTTAGAACAAAGAAAATAAGAGCCGATTAAGAAAATTTGAGAAAATAAAAAGGTTTTAATTGCTCAATCCTTAGATTTGAACTTCATTTAAAATGAAAATTCAAATTTAATTATGCAAGATTATACGTGAATTGAGCCAATATGATACTTTACTAATAAGTAATACCTTAGAAACTTTATTAATATGCTTCATAGCCAATACATGTCATCACATCTTCATGAGTATTTATAAGAAAAAAAGTATTTTTTTACCGCTGGAAAGTAAATGAAACTGTTACATCAAATCTTCACCAATAACTAGCCACTTTGTCACTCTGAGATCCTTACCCTTACTGCTTCTTACCCTTCTTACCTTTCTTACCCTTACCCTTCTTATCCTTTTTACCGCTGGGGTTTCCTCCAGGGGCTCCTGCCCCAGGAACCTTCACAATTACCACTGGCGGTGGCGGTGGCGGCGGCGCTGGTGCCATCTTCTGTAGCAACTTTCTTCTCTGCCCTTCTTGACCCGAGCCGCCGTCGTCGTCCATGTTCTTGCCAATGCTTAGCTTCCCTTTACAGGGCGACGATGCTGGATTGTTGGGCTGCAAGGTGGTGGCATGTAAACTTAGCAGCGACAATGCTACCAAGAAGAGATGAAGAAGAAGATGATGAGCCATTTTCTTTGTATTAATTAGCAGGCAAGAATGAAGAAGAAGGTGATGGCTTGGTTGAGTGATGCTATTTCTCGAAGTATAAGCAGCCATTTTATAGCAGCAAGCAAGAATGTGGGATTGCATCAGCATTTGCCAGACTTTTTAAGAACAATTTGATGTTTAGTTTATAGAATACTCGAGTCAACTCTTCGGTTTGGCTACTGCAGGCGTGTATATATATACAAGCATAATTTAGTTGAGTCAATGGTTTGTATAAAATGAAGTTATGAATCACATGTCCAATTTAATAAGGTTAGTTTTAGATTTCTTCAATTGACATGTTTTTTGACCGTATGTTGTATCGTGATCCTCGTCAATGTAGTCAGAAGCGCGATTCTAAGCAGAAGCATTTTAGGGATATCAAAGGTTAAAATCGTAAGTTTTTATGTTTTAAAACGCGATTTTGACTAGTAAGTAAAAAAAACATGATTTTATGTAGAATTGTTTTGGTGACCAAAAAGCGTAAAATCGTAATTTTTTAATAGACTTAAATCATCTATGAATTATAGTCTCAAGCCGAATCTGTGATCTGTAGCCTTCAAAATCCAAGAAAATTGGTCTTTCAAAAAAATCGCCCAAACAATTACGAAAATGTCATCCGAAATGAATTCGCCCAAATCGGTGCTTAATGGACTTAATCTTCGGCGGAGAATAGGATCAATAGACTTCATTATCGTTGGAGAACAACATCTGGCTGAATCCGTGATATGTAGTCTTCAAAATCGAAAAAATTGCATTTCGGGAAAATCGCCTGAAATCCGTGATGGTACCCCTTTTGAGTCTACCAAAAATGGACACGAAAGAACTCCGCCAAAATTGGTGCTTAGTGAACTTAATCATCTTTGAAGAATAGTCTCAGGCCGAATCCTTGATCTGTAGCCTTCAAAATCCAAGGAAATTGGCCTTCTGAAAAAAAAATCGCACAAATAATTACGAAAATGTCGAAAATGAATTCGCCCAAACCGGTGCTTAATGGATTTAATCATCGATGAATTATAGTCTCAGGCCGAATCTGTGATCTTTAGCCTTCAAAATCCAAGAAAAATGGTCTTTCTAAAAATCTCCCCAAAAAATTACAAAAATGCCCTCCATAAAATATCCGCCCAAATTAGCGATTAATAGACTTTATCATTAGTGAAGAATCTGAAACCTTCAAAAAATCGCCAAAAATATTACAAAAAATGGCATCCTAAAAATAATTAATATTAACCTTAAATAATTTCAAATCTTATCTTCTTATCTCTTATCTCTTCTCTTACAAACAATATAAGGAGATTCTAGCTCACCACTATAGGTGTCAATCGGGCGGGTTCGGGCGGGTTCGGGTTGGGTTCAATCGGGTTGCGGGTTAGTCGAGTTGCGGGTTCATCGGGTTCGGGTTCAAACGGGTTGCGGGTTAGTCGGGTTGCGGGTTCATCGGGTTCGGGTTCAATCGGGTTGCGGGTTCATCGGGTTTTGGGTCGGGCGGGTTGCGGTCGGGTCGGGTTTCGGGTTGTTCGGGCCAGCGCATCAAGTAACTTAACTCATTATTCATTACCAACTTACACATTTTATTACACTAATTTAAAATATTTTCTCAACTTTTTAACCAATTTATTTCTATCACATATATATATACTTTATTTTTTTGAAAAAAATAGTCAAAATTTTAAATCAATTTGTATGACTTGCAAACTTGTTATGTAATTAATCATAATTGGTAAAGTATTATAGCTAATAGTAATGGTGATATCAATATTTGCAACCAAAAAACACCGTTAATTGTTTATTTGATATTTTAGTATTAATTCAGTAGTAATTGAATTAAACTATCTCGTTTAGTATAACCATGCAAATCTGGTATTTGGCGTGTGGTAATTGGCAAAAGCATAGTGATAAAAGGAGTTATTTCAAAATAACTCATTGCCCAAATAACTTCAGTAAACTGTTGCCAAACGAGTTATTTGTAAAATTGTTCGAATTATCCTAAAAATTGAACCATTAAAGATTAGCTATCAAATTTAGTAAAATTATTGTGACTTCAATCATAACTTACTCAATAGCATATATCCTATACACTTAGCCTTACCCTCAATCAACAATATTAAGTTAGTATATGTTGTTGATTGTATAGCCTAAACCATCAATACATTATACACTAACCACATAACCTATACCCTAACCATATGTCCTTGAGTTGTGATTTTGCTAGTATAGTTAATTTAAAAGTGAAATTCATACTTTGATTTTCAAAACATAGATAAAAAGTGATATTTGCTAATTGTTATACCCTAACCATATATCCTATACTTTACACCACATACCTTGTACCCTAACCACGTACCATAAACATAAATTAAAAAGGGATCTCCTGCCGTTAAAGACTTCAAATGACTTCAAGTGAACATATGTTAATAAAAAACTTAGAACCGTCAAAACCATCAATATCTTATACCCTAACCATATACACCCTAAACCATATTTACCTTACCTTATACCCTAACCATATAATTTATATCCTAAACAACGAACCGTCAAAGATTACTTATCAAGTTTAGTATAAATTGTTGTAACTAATGGTTAATTCATTTATTAGCTCATAAACAATTACATACATATATACATATTAGCCTTCAAAGCATATAAGAATAATTTTAACTAGTCATGCCCTCCATATAAAAGTTAAAGATTCATATTTCAAAAGCTAAAATTATGAAAAACCAAAAAATTGAAAACACCAAATTTGTTTCCTTCTTCTTTTCACAAAAATACTAGAATTTCCCTCCTTCTTTCTCCTTCCATACATTAGAAAAATTCAATTTTCCCTGCTCTTTCTCTTCCATAAAATTGAAAGAACCAAATTACCCTCTTCTTTCATTCTACAAAAAGTTGAAAAGTCAAAAGTTTCCCTCCTTATTTCTCTTTCATAATCAAAAGAATCAAACTTTCCCACTTCTTTCTCTTCCCACATATCAAAACCACCAAAATTCCCACTTGTTTCTTTTCTAAAAAAATTCAAAGAACCAAATTTCCCTCTTCTTTCTCTTCCCAAAAACTTGAATACACCAAAAATTCCCTCTTCTTTTAAAAACATCAAATTACCAAATACATTACTTTACTTTATTTATATTTAATTGATAATTTTATTGAATAGTTAAATTAACCAAAATTTTAATTTATATATTATAATAATACTGTCATGATCTCAAGTGACCTTCATGTTTCAATTTTGGTAATTTTCTTAAAATACGTAATATCAAGTGAGTTTCATATTTTTTAAATTTCTTATACAAAATGAAAAAAATAATTTTACTTAAGTTTAGAATAAAAAACTTTATTTTGAAAAACTATGTATTGTATATTATTATAATTATTCAAGTGGATTAGATGAAATTCGGGTTGAGTCGGTCGGGTTACGGGTTAGTCGGGTTCGGGTCAATCAGGTTCGGGTTAATCGGGTTGCGGGTCAGTCGGGTTGCGGGTCAATCGGGTTCGGGTTAATCGGGTTGCGGGTCAGTCGGGTTGCGGGTTAGTTGGGTTGCAGGCCAATCGGGTTGCGGGTCGGGCGGGTTACGAGTTGTTGACTTTTAGTCAATTAGGGTTGCGGTCGGATTACGGATCAGGTTGATCAGACGGGTTAATCGAGTCGGGCTATGTTTTGACACCTATACTCACCACCCACCCCATTCAATTTTTTCTTGCTTCTGCGCACACTACGGAAGGGTTGTTTTGTCTTTTAATGGATGTAGTGTACATTATAGTTAGTCGTGTAGTAATCTATTAATGTTGTCATTAATTATTATATATTATATAATTAGCCGCGCTCAAATTGTATTAGGAAATATAATGTTTTTTTGATAATGGTGATAAAGATTAAATAAAAGTGGCAAAAGCCAAAGAAGTCCAAGATAAATACAAACCAAATAAGAAGAAGGTTCAGAAGCACTGAACCGCAGCAGCAAACAAAAGCAACAAAAAAGCTAAAAGAAACATAAGGAAGGCTCAATGGCGAGAGCCCAACAAGACGCTATAACAACAAAAGCAAAGAGGAAAGAGGTCAGGAAAAGGGGAAAAGGGAAAGCCCACAGAGAGCAGGAAAGAGGTCCCTTGAAGCAACCATGCACCATCAACCGAAACCACCAAAGACGCAGCACCAGTCGCCTCCACGACACAAATGCAATCATGAACAGGCCAAAAGCAAAGATACCAACCTCAGCAACACCGATCAATCAAGCAACCTCCATTCGAAGTCTTCAACCCAAGCCAGCCACCCAAACGATCTCACACCCTGGTTAAAAAATTCCTAAGCCACCTGATACCATCATCCTTTCCCACCTTGCCATGAACCATGACCCACTCCATTATACATCTAATTGCCATCCGCGCAATCACAGGAGCAGGCACCTTTTTGTCTTGGAAGATACGCCTATTCCTCTCAAGCCACACTTGCCAACAAACCGCATGTAAAGCACAATAATGAATCCATCCTGCAATGTTCCCTGGCTCATCCTTTCTCCACCTTTGAATCGTTGTTCCAATATCAGTAGATGGCGGGACAAAGAAGTTGCCAACTCTCATGATCCGACTCCAAACCTCCCTCCCAAAATCGCAATCCACAAACAAGTGGTTCGCCGTCTCTTCCTTCTTGCAGCAAAGCGCACACCTATTGGCGATAGAGAGTCCCGTTCTTTGCAGCCTATCAAGCGTGGAGACTCTCCTGTGGACAAGGAGCCAAATGAAGAAGCAAATCTTATTGGGGATGATCTGCCGCCAAACAGAATCAGCAGGGAAGTTAGGCAGCCCGGGGAAGCGATCCTTGATAAGACACCTGTACATGGAACGAACAGAGAACGAGGAGTTTGGAGACGGCGACCAAACCAGCCTACAAGGCCCGCTGGTCACCCTATTAGCCCCACAAGAATTCAATAAGTTCATAAGAGACACCCTTTCCCTCTCAGCCCCCCCCTCTAAGATCAAAAGATAAAGGAATATCCCACACAATACTCTCACCTGTGTGCATCAGAACGTTAGAAACCCAAGCATCCTGATTAGGCACAGTGGCAGCAACACGGGGGAAAGTGTCGGCGAGAAACGTCTCAGGGATCCAACAATCGTGTCAAAAAGAAAACCCCACTCCATTTCCCGGGTCAATATGAGCCATCCTCCAGAATTCATCAAAGCCCTTCGTGATATTAGCCCATACAGAACTGGCAAAACCACTGCTACATTTACCCGTATGCCAAGTCGAGGGAGCATACGGGTATTTGGCGCTAATCAAACTTCTCCACCACCTATCCTTCTCGTTAGCGAACCGCCAGAGCCATTTGCCAAGCATGGCACTATTGAAAGAAACCAAATCAACCACTCCCAAACCTCCTTTATCTTTAGATGCTTTGCACAAATCCCGTAAAGAGGGACCTTTTGTTTCTCCCCTGTTCCACTCCACAGGAACCTTCTCTGCACATTTTCCATTCTCTTGATCACTGTAGTAGGAGCACGAAGAATAGAGAAGAAATAAATAGGCTGGCTAACAAGGACAGACTTGTACAAAGTCAACCTGCCTCCCATGGACAAGAAACGCCCCTTCCATCCCTCGAGCCTCTTTTGATGATTTGCAATAATAGGATCCCAAGTAGACACAGCATTCGGCTTAGCGCCTAACGGGAAACCGAGGTACCTGGAAACATCCTTGCTCCAATTACACCCAAAAATATCAGCAAAAAACTCCGGATTCGCCACATCCCCCACTGTGAACATAACCGATTTCTCCAAATTGATCTTCAACCCTGTAACAGCTTGGAAACACACAATGGTGGCCAAAATACTCAAAACCTGATCATGGGATGCATCACAGAAAATCAGCGTATCATCGGCAAATAACAGATGAGTGACCTCACCAGTTCCTCGCTCTCATTCATACAGAACCCACTAATTTTCCCATCCTCCCTGAGCTTGGTGATCATAACTGACAGCACATCCATGACAATAGCAAACAATCCAGGCGAAAGGGGATCACCTTGGCGGAGTCCTTTGTGAGCCGCAAAGAAACCTTTAGCTTCCCCATTCACCAGAATGGACAGCATCGGAGAACACATAACTCCACGAATCCACTGCTGCCACTTCAAAGGGAATCCCAAACTGGAGCAGGCCCTAAAAAGGCACTCCCAACTAACGTTGTCAAAGGCCTTCTCAATATCCAACTTGAACATGAGTCTCGGCTTCCTACTCTTCCGACGACTGTCAACTAACTCAAAAGCAACAAGGCCAGCATCAGCAATCTGTCGTCCCTTCACCGAGGCGTTCTGGTTGAAAGAAACGACCTTAGGGAGAACTAAACTGAGTCTGCGAGCAAGTATTTTACTTATCAGTTTGTTAAGACTCCCCATCAGACTTATCGGCCTCAGATCTTTAATCTCCTCCACCACATCATTCTTAGGAATTAAACAGATAAAAGAGTGTGTAGCACTTTTTGGTAAGAATCCCGTGTCGAAGAACTCGGAAACCGCCCTCACAACCTCCCCTTTAATCCACGGCCAGCACTTCTTGTAAAATTCCCACGTAAACCCGTCCGGCCCAGGAGCCTTTCCCCCATCGCTATCTCTAATGATGTCCCAGATCTCCAACTCAGAAACAGGAAAACAAAGTCCCACCCCATCAGCCTCAGAAAGACCATTCCCACCAAACACCCTTGGAAATGGCCGCCAGCTAGCATTGTCTTGGAAGAGAGTCGGATAATGATCCACAATACCTGCCGCCAGCTCGTCCTTACCTTCAACCACAACTCCATTAATTTTAATACTTTCGATCAAGTTGAGTTTGCGCCGATAATTTGCAGCCTTATGAAAAAAGGGAGTATTATTGTCACCCAACTTAAGCCACAATTCTCTCGACTTTTGTCTCCATGAAATCTCCTGGAGAAACAAAGCCTTGCCGATATCAACTTTAAGACAATCCCGGGCAGCCTGTTCATCAATGGAAAGAGGTCGAGATTCCTCAAGGGTATCCAAATCCAAAATCTTCGCAGCTAAATCATTGATCCTAATATTAATGTCACCAAAAACTTCCTTATTCCAAACTTTGATCTTGCTTTTAAGGTCCTGAAGCCTCCTTGTCCAGAGAAACGCACCTCCCCAACCCTGAAGACTGGTGCTAAGCCAAGACACCAAGCCTTCAAAAAATCTATCATCTTCCAACCACATATTTTCAAATTTCCACGGTCTCCTGATTGTAATGTTCCTCCCCCAAATCAGAAACAACGGGTTATGATCTGATTCCAAGCGCTCAAGGGCCGATAAAGAACAATCCGGAAACAAACTGTCGAAGCTCGAGGATATAAAAGCACGATCAATACGAGAAAGGCTGTGATGAGCTCCTCCTTTACTCCACGTGAATCTACTTCCTCCAAGAGGCAGCTCAAGGAGAGCATTAGAATCAATGAAATGGTTGAACTCCTGCATCATACTAGAGCACCGTCTCACTCCCCTGTAGTCATCATGACTTCGAACAAGATTGAAGTCCCCAACAACGCACACAGGAACATCTAAATGCTGACAAAGAGTATTCAATTCATCCAGGAACCTCAGTTTGTCCTCCCTCTCCTGTGGCCCGTACACAACCACCAAATGCCAAACTTTGAGACTATCGACCTCTTGGAATTCCACCTGCAAGTAGAAGTTCCCTTCATGGTTAGAAACCGCCCGAACGTGATCCTGATCCCAATAAATAGCGATGCCCCCTGCACTATTAATTGCATTCTTCGACACCCATCCAAGCTCTCTACGCCCGCTAATGTTTCTGATAGCTCTGTCATCGCAATTGTCCCACTTAGTTTCAACCAATCCTACAATTTTGGGATTCTTCCTGGCTATAATTCTCTTAATTCTAGCACACTTGCCATGATCACCAAGCCCTCTGACATTCCAAACAAGAACCGAAGATCCCATTAAAATTAGATTCCAATGGCACTTCCACCCTTCCTCTTGCTCTTCCGCGGACCAATTGGAAGAGGATCCAAAGGACCCAACCGGTGCTGCTCCATCTCAAGCTTAGATCTTGATGCTCGCAACTTACGTTGGTGCAAGCCTTTAGCCGTGACCAATTAGGAAATATAATGTAGATTATTGTTGGTTTATAATGATATTATATCTGTACTTTTAAATGTGTGGTCATTCTCTTATTATTTTCAAAGAGATCATATCTCATTTATTTTAATCCGGATAATATATGTTTTAAGCATTCTTAATAAATGAATTTTTCAAAAGCTTCCTCACACAAATTGTTGAGATTCATACTTAAGCTATGCAGATTTGAATCTAAAATGCAAATTCCTCTAAAAATATATATCTCTTGATATATCCGAATATTGTCTGGTACCCTAAAAATCAAGTTGTCCATAAAAGTCTAGAAACTTACCAATTCATTTGTCCAATATGACAGCAGAACCGGGCTCTTAAAGGTATTATTCTCAACTTTGATTTTAAAAAATTTAGGTAAAAGGTTTGATTAATTGAAACCTGTCAATAATTGTTGTTAAAATACAATGACGAGTACTTTTGGGGAGAATCATAACAAGATCAAAGGCAACACCCGCTAGGTAAAGATATCTTTACTCTTCCCTTATTTTTAATTTAAAATTCATTCACTGGAGAAAATATCACCGTACCCACTAAACATATAGTATTGGAATAATAGTGTATCTCAATTGTTGCGATTTTATAAATTCAGGATCCAGTTCCAAGTTATGTCGACAAAATTGCTGGAATTGACTTTGTCGAAGGAGTTGGATTTTTTTGGAATGCCTACTAAGAAGCTATTCCAAGATAGTGACGGAATAAGAGGACCTCCGCCACTTCATCTCCTACGACTTGAGGGAAGTTTGAAGTTTAACATCAAACTCACGAATTATAATTTTTTAACCCCATTAGTGAATAGTTTTCAAGATAAGGAACGATGAAGAAGAGTAACCTCAAAATGTTTATGACATGGGCGATGTAAATTTAACTTCTTGAAAATGGTTCTTCACAATTTAATTTGAACTATTTTACCATTGAAATTTTTTGCTTAGGGTTTAGTGGATTTAATGATGGAGATTATGATGATTTGGGAAAAAGTAAGAGACTATTGATGATGGAGAAAAACAGCGACTCCAATAACGTTCATAATGGGATGAAATAAATTCTACTGTGTGAAAATTATGTTTCATATGAAATTTTAATTTTCCAATAGTTGCTTAATTGGATAGTTTGGATTCTTTTATGGTACAAAATAAAACGTCCTTCCATCAAATAATTTTTATTGTATTATTTTTATTTAATTACCGAGAAAAAAGGGAACCCATTAAAATCGAAAACACCGTTCACTGGGATTTTATATAGTGCGGCAGATGTACAAAAGAAAAACGAAAGGTGTGGCATTAATTACTTCCAATTTTCCAAAGGATTCTTTGATTTGCCGCCATTGTTGCAACTGAAAACTAATAAATACACAACACAACATATACTTTGATTTGTAAACACTTTTGTTATAATTCGAGAAAGACACGTCCATAATTATCTCATCCTCAACATGCATAAGTTTACAATGTATTTTAATAAGAACTATGTTCCGTAATCTTCTGTTCCCAAAATTATTAACTAAGCTAGCGATTTCATCAATTTGTGTTACACAAAGATTTTGTAAGATGAGTTATTTTATATACCAGTTTAATCAAATGTTTAACGATTTATGGACTGGTTGTAGCATTAACCCTTTTATTTGCGAATCCTTTTGTTTGATCCTACTTTTTGTAACTTAACTCACTTATTATTCAATAAATTTTATATATTATTACCTACTATATTCACCATCACATCAATTTACATAACACAAAAGCTATACAAAGTAAGTTAAGTTTTACATTTATATTGCTTGATTTTATTATTAGACCACACATTTTGAAAGGTTTAGGTAACACCAGTCTATGACAATTACATAAATTATATTTATGTTGCTTGATTTTATTATTAGACCACACATTATGAAAGGTTTACGCAAACACCAGTCTATGACAATTACATAACTTACAAATACATTCATAAATCTTATGAATAGATAGTTATTTATTATCTATCAATTAAATAAAAATAATACATAACTCTTCTATAAATATATAAGTCTATAGAGGGATAGTTATTTCTTATGTGTGTCAAGATATATTACATACGTTTTTGTAATGACTAAGACATTATGTAAGTTTATGAAGGGATATTAATTTTTTATGTATCAATTAAATAAACATCATACACAATTCTTTTGCAATATATAAGTTGAATAAATATTAATTAAACTGTTAACCATCTCATCAATTTGCATTGCATAAAGGTTTTACAAGGTCAGTTAGTTTTACATACAATTCAAATGTGATACTTTTCGTAACTTAGATCACTTATAATCAAATATTTTTTTTATTTATCATTACCTACAATATTCACAATCTCATAAGACTGTATTGCGCAAAGGTATTGTACGTTAGATAAAATAAATTTTCATAGCAGTTTATTCAAATGTGATACTATCCGTAAATTAATTTTATCATTATATTAGACCACATATTACGAAAAATTTACGTAACACTATTCTATAACAATTATGTAAATTATAAATACAATACGTACAACTTATGAAGAGATAGTTATTTCTTATTTATCTACTAAAAAATAAATTATAAATACAATACGATATACTTAGCAGCGACAGTGCTACCAAGAGAGACGAAGAAGAAGACGAAGATGATGATCCATTTCTTTTCTTTGTATGATATGGCGTGAGTGATGCTATATTTCTCGTAATAGAAGCACCCTTCTAATTATAGCAGCAAGAATGTGGGATTGCATTAACATTTGCCAGACATTTTAAGAACAACTTGATGCTTTAGTTTGTAGAATACTACTCAAGTCAACTCTGCAATTTGGCTATTGCAGGCGTATATATATATATATATATAAAAGCATAATTTAGTTGAGCCAATGGTGTATATATAAAACGAGGTTATGAATCACATGTCCAATTTAATAAGGTTAGTTTTAGATTTATCGTTTAGAGATTTTTATTTTTATTTTTATATAAATGGATGCAAAGAGATAGCGCCATATCTTTCAATTGATCCTCTTCAATTGGCGTGCAGTTTGACTGTTTGCTCCTCCTCATCGATGTAGTCAGAAGCGTTTTGATAATCTAAAAGGGTTAAAATCATAAGCTTTTAAGTTATTAAAACATGGTTACACTTGTAAGAAGAAAAAAAAAGTAGAATAATTTTGGTGATAAAGAAGCATAAAAACACAAGTTTTTAAGCGCAATTTCAACTACATTTTACCTCATTGCAAGCCCCTTAGCGAACTAAATGGAGTTCCGTTCTAATGATCCTATTGCAGAAAAAAAAAATGGTAGACACGCTTTGAAACTTTTTGAATTAGATCGCGTGCTACTTTGAAATCGGACGGTATTTTTTTCCTAGTAATCCAAGGAATTGGTTTATTTTAAGATATGCTTGGTTTGCTCAGCTTTTCTTTTTCTGACAATTTTTTTTTTGAAACCAACTTGAGTGTTTTTTTTTTAATAGAAATAAAGTCAAGGTGGGTTTGTAAAGCAAATATGTTCACATGGTATACTCTATATACGTGACTCTGCAATAGGGAATTGGGAACAAATTACCACTTTTGTAGATCACCCTTTGCGCTATCTTTCTCATTGCTCTTTGTGCATGAATTGGAAATGAAAGTGGCCATTCATTGGTCCATCCAATTTATTTCATGCATTATCAAGTCTTGCTGTAATTAAGCTGTTGTTCATGGAGATTTGTCATTCAACTCATTATTTTCGTGTTGTCAAAGCTTTGTTGGTAGAAAACTCCATATTCAAACTTATTGCACATGAGATTGTCCTTCTTTAATATTGTAATAGAAGATAAACTTATGGGTTTAAAATGAATAATATCCCAATTTGTTGTGATAACACTAACACAATTTGCATGACAAAGAACCCAGTACAACATTCAAGAACCAAGCACATAGAAATTAAGTATCATTTTATAAGAGAATTGGTTCAAGCTGGACAAGTAAATCTTCAGTTTGTATCGACTGACTTTCAATTAGCAGACCTTTTTACAAAACCCTTGCCCAGTGAACGCTTTCTGTATCTGAGTACAAATATAGGGCTAAAATCTTTTGAACAAATTAAAAACCTAAAAAGCTAAGACAACCATTGGGAAACAGTTACTCTAGGTGTTTTGCTTGTCTTGGGTGACACAAACATTTACTTTAATTTTCCAGCTCATGCTTCCTGCTTTTTAAGTGTTCTTTGCATGCTATGGAAATAATTACACTCGATGTTTACGTAGGAGAGTGTTAGTATTCCTCCAGCCCTTTTGTAGTTTTCCTTTATTTAAGCAACGCTCTTCCTCCTCTCTTCCTCACTTGCGGTAAGAGAATCATTACCAGTTACACTTAACAAATTTGTTTCACTACAACAAAATCCATATATAGCGGCTAAGAGAACTTGCCTCTATAAGTCTTTTATTTGCTTCTGTATATATTTAGAGGCATATAATACATTTGCCTCAAATACTCTAGTGGCTATAGCTCTATAGATGCAAATATAGCGGCATATATTATCTGTTGCTGATTAAGGATTCTGTCACTGATATTTTAGCCGCTAATGTCACTTTCATTTTGCCTCTATATTCAATATTATTTGCCTCTCAAATGATCTTTAGCGGCTATTAAACTTGCCTCCAATATTATCTATAGAGACATATATATATTTTTGTGTCTGAACTTAGTTAATGAGGCTACCTAGAGGCAAATAGTTTTGCAAATGAAATTAACTTTTAGAGGCTAATAAACGTGCTTGTGTATTGATTTATTGTAAAAAAAAGAGAATAGATTCAGAAATATGAATATATTATACAACATTACATTGATATAATAATTGAACCACAGAGTAATGAGTGTACAACTTAAGATTGAAGAGAAAGAAAATGAGAGTACATAAGTGCGAAAATTAGATGCCGCTTAACATTTCATTGGGGCAAATATCAGCAGCTAAATCAAGAGGAAATAACAGTCATGAAGAGCTGCACTGCTGTACATAGCTGCAAAAGAGAATTCAACTCTCTAATTAATTCTCTATGTATTCCAACTCCTTGTGCATCCTAGACTTGACTTTCTAGCAAGATCATAAATTTTAACTCGACCGACTCCTCTTCGTACCTGAAGATAAGCAAGATTATAAATGAATCAACTGAACTGATACTTTGGTAAAACTACGATCATCATAAATGATAGCATTTTAAGAAATGAATCCAAAATCAAGTTTATCATCATCACTCAACCCACTACCAAATCACACCATTAAAATCTGAAAAGAGTATTATTTAACTCAGTTACTAATGGCAAATCCGGATAGAGTTACCTCTTGTATCCAAGTGCCATCCATGTGTGGGAAATTCTGTTCAAAGTGCCCTTAGTGCTAGCAATAGAAAGAAGCAGGCCATCCGGTGATGCTATTTTGTTTATCTCCAGGGTAATAGTGAGTTTCCCTCTTCCCACCACCAAATCGAAGCAGTAAATCAATCCACAATCTACTGAATTGAAATACTGTGGATCTTCTTCAGCTCTGGCTGGCATCCGGGGCCTGTAGGAAAAAAAAAAGAGTTTTGTGCAGGAACTCCGAGGCTCTAACAAGACTGGAAGGAATGGATGCAATTTCCAGACAAGAGCCCCTACAGATGATTCAATATGCGAGTGAACGCCTCCAGAAGGAACGCTCTTCACCGCCGACGTAACAAGGTGTTGAACAAATTCGTCTTCATCGCTGCGTCGCTTTCTTTCGGAAGGGATGAGATTGGATGAAGGAAGATTGTGGGAGCCGAAGGGGAGGGTGGGCATGGATTTGGTTGGGGTTCCTTTACAGAAGAGATCGGGACAGAGATGGAGAAAGAGTGGGATGAAAAGAGGGGTTGTAGATCTAGTTAAGGGTGTTTGGTAGCGGAGGAGGAAAGTAACCAAGAGTGGTATATTTGTTTAGAGCGGATGATCGAAAGGGGGAAATTAGCTTCCAATGAGAGTAAAGCTGCCTCATTCTACGAAGTAAAGTAATCAACTTTCTCCTTTTTTTTATTCGATCAAAGAGGGAAATTACCTTTCTGTGTGAGTCAAAGACTCTTAATCTTCTAACAAAAAAGGACTCTTAATCAAAAGCAAAAAATTCAAAATCTCGAGTCCAAGCCGAAAACAAAAAAGAGCGCTCAAACTCCCGCCCTCCAGCAAGCAGCTCACAATTGCCTCTAAAACTGGTAGTTAAAAAAAAAAAAAAAGAATGTGTCGCTAAAAGTACTGATTGATTTTATGTAGTTAAATTAATTATATAATTAGAGGCACAATTTAATAGCTATAGAGGCAAATTTATATTTGTTGTATATGTACAATATCTAGGGGCAAATAATAGTACTTATAGAGGCAAATTCAATATTTGTTGTGTATAAGATCTTTATTAGGCACTTACAAATTCTGCCTCTATTATTAGCCATAATAAATCAGTTTTGTTGTAGTGTTTTGTGTTTTTTTTTTTCTAAATTAAAAACACATTCTAACCATACCGTAAGTATTTCTTTGGTATTTTTGATATTTCGATTATGATATTTCGATTGTTTTAATTCGTGTTCAATAACTAATTTAGTTTTTATCTATATTATAAATGGAGGAAATTTTGTAAAATCGTAACTCACATATCATTTTTTATCGAGTATTGCATATTGAAGTGTGCAATATTGAATGTGTATTGTTGGTTTACTTTTGGACACGTATAGTTTGTACGTACTGCAAGGGGAGGGACCATGCATGCAACGTGGAGTGGAATTCACTAGACGATCCAAAAATGGTCCATCGATCCCGGCGGGACCAGAACGTGTGTTTTTGTTCCGCAATGGGAATCGTGCTAAAACGACCCTAAATTAAATTCCTTATAAGGTGAGCCAACTAGCAACTTTTCCTTTCCCTCCATCCAAGCTAACCACTGGTGCCTGCTGCCATCTTCTGTTGCAGCTTTCATCTCTGGCCAGCTTCTTGACCCAAGCCGCGCCGTCGTCGTCCATGATGCTTAGAGCCTCCACCGTCGTCCATGCCCCTGCAAATGCTCAGCTTCCCTTTACATGGCGACGATGCTGGACGATTAATGGGCTGCAAGGAGGTCGCATGCAGTAGCAATCTGTATACTTAGTGTTGGATCGTCGAGCGCGAGACGTTCAGCTCTCTTCTCCGATGCTCTCCCCTTTTCTGCCAAACCCTAATCGCACAGACTCAGATCAAGTGAAAGAAATCGAGGGATGAAAATGTTATAGAATAAAATAAAGTAAATTATGATTTCAGCTGCTTTAAGCGTGAGATGAAGAACAAAATAACTCAAGATGGGCTTTAAGCCCAGTGTAGTGGATTTACTAATCTGAATCGTTTGGCCCAACTAACTGGATCCAAACCACTTCGCCGTCTTCCTCGTAAAGAAGTCGAGATTGCCTTTCCAGAATTATGTTCCTGCAAAACAGAGTACCGCAACAAGAAAGACGCCAGCAATTAAAATATCAAACTCATTCACACAGACAAATCAGATTTTTACGTGGTATCTGATATTGGGAGAATGAGGATCTCAATATCGACTAATCCACGGTAGGAGACTCTCTTCCTGAGATCTCCTACGTAAGCACTACTTCAGTGTTTTGTGTTTTACAGAACTTGGTAAGCTACAGATCAACTCCCAGCTGATCAACCAAGTCAAGCCTCTGATGTTACAATCTCCTGTTGTAACACCCGCGATTTCCCCAGCCAATCTCCCTGATTAGCACAGATAATCACACTCTACAAAAGACTCTTGCTTCTCAAGCTCTCTCTTTTGTTCTAAGTCGTGAGATGGGAAAACTGCCTCTACCACTCTGTAATCTCTCAATATATATCTAACTAATCAAAATAGCCGTTGGAGAGAGTTATTTTCTTTCCAATTCTGTTCTACTCCTTTTTGGCAAGTTTGCTGTTCTTCCCCTTTCCATATGATTCTGGATCCGCCATTAACTTCTGTTGCTCGTCCTGCCAGGGTGTCTAAATGGCTGGCATTGATTTGCTTCTCTCAACATTCTCCCCCTAAGCATGTCATTTACTCCAACGGCTGCTGCTTTCATATATTACCTGCACACTCAACTAACGGTTGGTGCAGCCTGTTCTAAACAAGTATAACTATTTCACTGTGCTGTAAGATCAGAAGAAGGAGAAAGATCCATTTTATTCATTTTCAATGAAACAAGCAACACAAAATGACCACAGAGGGAAATCTACTACTGACAATCCTATTGATTCGATGACACAGAACATTAAGACTTTTCCTTAACCGACTCTAATTGAGGACTCCCCCTAAGCTGATTACTCATCTAGAACTCATACTTAGGAGGTGACTCATAATCAGACACACCCTCTCCTTCTTCCTCCTGGATGTCACTTGGTTCAGCTTCCTTTGCCGTTTCAATTTGAGCCTTGTAGTACTCTAAGCTACAAAGCTCCTTACTTTTGATAGTTCGAATTTTCTGATCCAGTACAGCAGAGGCAGCATCTAATAGGGCATGAACCAGCTGATTCGCAGGAGTGACATCAGTATGCTCTCCCCCTGAGTGAATGACATGCTTTTGTCTACCAACAGAAGCATCGACACGAGCAAGAACATGCTGAGCACGTAGATCTTCTCGAACATCGCAAACCACAACCTTATCAGAGAGATCAATTCCTATGTTGTAGAAGGCGAGTTATCTGAGGACCAAAGGGAATGGGGCCAGAGTAATTATCATCACCATACATGATCATGTGTGCAAACATGAGGAAGGAAAAGTTAAGACGAACCCAATCACGAGCATTAGCCATGATCCAAACATCCGAAGGATGAGCTAACTCATTACTGGACAGGCAGCGAGGAAGCAGGATGCGAGTGATGAAAACATGCATCACCTTGAAACGATCTGCTAATCTGCCAGCTGAGAGCATATTGGAAAAGTGACGACCAATATTGTGAGTGAGAGATTCCAGGGCAGACCCATAGTCGAAGCGAAGCTCTGCAAAGTCATCATTTGTGGCAGCAGAGGATCCTTGACAGGGAAGGCCAAGAGTTTCGGCCAAAAGAGAGGGAGTGACGAGAATCTCATGGTGATACACCACTGTGGTGAACGAAGAAGGACTTGGGTCAGACCCTCTTTTCAGGCGGGCGTAGAACATACGCACTGCCTATGGTTCTCAAAAAGAGAATCTCATGCGAGACTGTGAATGAGCCCAAAGATTTCCAGTTCATACTTGTGGAAGGATGAAGGATGAATGGTAAATGAAGGATAGGGAGGGCGGTGATGGAAGTAGCTGAGATAGCGCTAATAGCGCGAGGGATTGTGAAAACCCTTGTTATTGAAGGTGACTGCAGGATGCAGTTGAGGATTGGTGGGAGCCATGAGTGATGATAACAACTTTGTAAAACCCTAGTGTAAGCTGGAGATGTGTGTGAAAGAAGTGGGAGAGAATACATATATAAGGTCATCGTTAGAAGTCAAACAGGGAAAGAGAAAAGAGGCAATTAACGATTGACCTAAAAATCAGCATAGATCCCTAAGGAATCACCGAGATTTCTTCCAGCGAAAACATGCCAAGTTCCCGGCGGATAGACACGAATTTCTCACTCCCTAAAGGCTTAGTAAAGATATCAGCCCACTAGAAATCAGTGCTGATGAATTGAAGATGAATTTGCCCATCTTGAACAAGATCTCGAATAAAGTGATAACGAACCTCTATGTGTTTAGTTCTAGAGTGCTGAATTGAATTTTTGGTCATATTTACAGCACTTGTGTTATCACACATAACTGGTAATGAACCAAATTGAATCCCATAATCAAAGAGTTGATACTTCATCTAGAGAAGTTGAGTACAGCAAAAACCTGCTGCCACAGACTCTGCTTCTGCAGTAGATAGGGCCACAGTACTTTGTTTCTTGCTGAACCAGGAGATAAGAGAGGATCCAAGAAAGTGACAAGCCCCATAGGTGTTTTTTCTATCAACTGAGCAACCAGCATAGTCAGAGTCACTATAGCTAATTAGCTCCAGATTTGAATCACTTGAATACCAGAGACCTAAGCTAGGAGTACCAACAAAATATCTAAAGATTCGTTTGATGGCAGAGAAGTGACTTTCTTTCGGGCAGCTTTGGAATCGAGCACACACACAAACACTATACATAATATCGGGCCTGCTAGCAGACAGATATAGCAGAGAGCCTATCATCCCTCTAAATATACGTCTGTCTACAGGTTTTCCAGATTCATCCTTAGTGAGTTTGGTCGAAGAGCCCATAGGAGTATAAGCAACTTTCAGATTAGTGAATCCAAAACGTTTTAGCATGTTATTCAGATATTTAGTTTGACTAATAAATATGCCTTTGCTCGTTTGTTTAATTTGCATACCTAGAAAGAAATTAAGTTCACCCATAAGACTCATTTCAAAGGCACCTTTCATAGAAGCTTCAAAGTTTTTACACATTTCTTGACTTGAGGATCCAAAGATTATATCATCAACTTACACCTGACTAGCAGTGTATGTTCATCCTGGTTCTTTATAAATAAAGTTTTGTCTACCTGACCTCTATGAAACCCCTCATTTATGAGGAACTGACTCAGCTTATCATACCAAGCCCGTGGAGCTTGCTTTAGACCATACAAAGCTTTATTTAGTTTATAAACATAGTCAGGGTGCTCAGAATCTTCAAAACCAGGGGGTTGTTCAACATAAACCTCTTCTTTTAAATCCCCGTTAAGAAAAACACTTTTTACATCCATTTGGTACAATTTAAAACCTTTTGATGCAGCATAGGCACAAAGTAATCTAATTGCCTCTAATCTGGCCACAGGAGCAAAAGTCTCATCAAAATCTATGCCTTCTTCTTGATTATAACCCTGTGCTACTAATCTTGCTTTATTTCTTATAATCATCCCAATTTCATCAGATTTGTTTCGATAGACCCATTTAGTCCCTATAATGGTTCTATTTTTAGGTCTAGGAACCAAGTCCTAGACTCTGGTTCGTTCAAACTGATTCATTTCTTCATGCATTGCAGCATTCCAAAATTCATCCTCTAAAGCTTCATCAATATTTCTAGGTTCTATCAATGATATGAAGGCAGTATGTTCATGATAGGTTTTAGATCGTGTGACCATACCTTGATTTAAGTCCCCAATCACCAGAGAGGGAGGATGTCGCTTCTGAATGTGAGGAGGAGCTTCTGGCTTGTGCATACCTTCAAGACTTGCATCTTGAGTAGTTTCTATGCTTGTTGTCACTCCATCAGCTTCTTTAGTTTGACTCAAGCTAAGTCCAAAATCCTCATCATCGTCTAGTGTTTTTGCACACTTACTAGTAGACTCATCAAATACCACATTAATGGACTCCTCAACTCTAAGGGTCATTTTGTTGTAGACACGATAAGTCTTGCTATAGCTTCATCTGATTTTGAGTCAAACTTTCCCAACTGATCTTTAGTGTTTAGAACAAAACATTTGCATCCAAAAGGATGAAAATAGCCTAAGTTAGGTTTTCTGTCCTTCCAAAGTTCATATGGTGTCTTGTTTAGTTTTGATCTAATCAACGATCTGTTTGTTATGTAGCAGGCAGTATTGATAGCTTCACCCCAGAACTGCTTAGGTAATCCATAATCATTAAGCATTGTTCTTCCTATTTCAATGAGTGTTCTGTTTTTCCTTTCGACAACACCATTTTGTTGGGATGTCCTAGGAGCAGAGAAATTATGTGTGATCCCCTTTTCATTGCAAAACTGCTCAAAGTTTTCAGACACGAACTCACCACCAAATCACTTCTGATACTGATGATTTTGGTTTGTTTTTCATTTTCTACTCGAGCATTAAAAGTTTTAAATTCTGACAAGGCTTCATCTTTACTAGAGAGAAAGAGCACCCATGTATATCTAGAGAAATCATCCACAATCACGAATGCATAATATTTTCCACCCAAGCTTCTTATATTACTAGGTCCAAATAAATCCAGATGAAGCAGTTCTAGAGTTCTATTGGTAGAGATGATTGCCTTAGTTTTAAAAGATGCTCGAGTATGCTTTCCCTTAGCACAAGCATCACAGAAGAATTCTTTCTTACTAAGAATTTTTTAGATTCCTCTGACTAAACCTAGGTTTACTAGTCTAGACAGAGTACTTACACTAACATGACCTAGTCTACGATGCCATTCTATATGGTCATTTTTATCCACAGAGATCAAACATGTTTCATTAAACGCAACTTTGTCATTTAGATCAATTGTGAAAAGTTTTCCCTTACGTTTGCCAGTAAAGAGTATTTTACCACTTGAGATTTCTTCAACAAAGCATCTTTCTCGCTCAAATATGACTCTGTTCTTATTTCCACACATTTGACTAATTGAGAGTAGATTATGTTTGAGATCTTTAACCAGCATGACGTTATTTATGGATGGCATCGTCCCTACTTGTCCTTTTCCTAGTATTTCTGTGCTGAAATTATCACCAAAGAAGACTTTACCTTTCTTTCCTAGAACTAGATTAGTAAAAAGCCTTTTATCCCCCGTCATGTGATGTGAGCATCCACTATCCAGAATCCAAACGCTGTCTACCATGCTCACTTGGAGACAGGTCTGCAAAACCTTTTATTTATTTGTTTTTAGGTATCCAAACTAATTTGCTTACCCTTCCAATTTGAAAAGTCTTTGAACAAATCTTACTTGAGTGACCTACTTCATGACAGTTAAAGTAGTTTGAGTTTTCTACTCGATTTTCTTTAGCTATACGCTTTCTACATTCTACAATATGATGACCCATTTTATGACAGTAGTAACATTCAGTGTTTCTTGTCTTCTGTGGCTGTTTGAAATTTTTACTCATATTTCTGCCCGAGACCCTTTTGATTTTATATGCAGTACTCAATCTGTCAATTTCAGCTTCTGCTGATCCTAACTTACTTCTCAACTCATCATTTTTAGTAATAGCATGCATAAGTTTGTTCTCTATGTCTAATTTTTTGGCTTTTTAGGTTGTAACCTCTTTGAGTAATTTTTCATATCTAGACTTAATTAAAACATGCTTTTGTTTGACTCTGATGAACTCATTTTGAATATCTAAAATTGTTTCATCGAGTTGTTCATCCTCACTATAGTAGTCAAAATAGTAGGTTCTTACTTGTGGTTCGCTTTCCTCAATGTCACTTCCTTCAATGGCCATGTAAGCTTCCTGCTTAGTGTCTTCTTCATCATCATCATCATCATCTTCACTGCAGCTCCATGTAGTTGCAAAGGCCTTTTCTTTCTTCAACAAAGGACAGTCTGCTCTGATGTGCCCTGCTTTGCCGCATTTGAAGCATCCAGCTTGTGATTGAGTTTTCTCGGAAATTGTTCCTTCTCTCTTGTTCTTCATATCGAATAGACTTGGACTGCTAAATTCTTTTTAATTTTCTCCATCCCTTGTTCTGTTGAAAAGACTTCCTCTTCTCTTTTCTCATTCGAAGCAACTTAGCTACATGTTTACTGAGCATTGCCAATTCGTCATCCTCCATTTCTTCAAGACAATCAAGATCATCTTCCTGTGTTATTGCCTTGAAGGCTATCCCTTTCTTTTCCTTCTGAGGTTCTTTCACCTCCTCCCTTCTCAGCTTTTCTTCATGTGTCACCAGAGATCCGATAAGCTCATCTAAGCTCAGCCTGGTAATATCCTTGGATTCCTCGATGGCAGTTACTTTTGGAGTCCATCGTTTAGGTAGAGCCCAGAGGATTTTCCTGACTAAATCCGCACTTGCATACTCTATCTCCAGATTTCTCAAACTGTTCACGATTGTGGTGAATCGCTCATTCATCTCTCTCATCGATTTCTCTGGCTTCATGATGAATGACTCAAATTCTTACTTCAGATTGTTTATTCGATAGATTTTAACATGCGATGTGCCTTCATGTGCTATCTGGAGTTTATCCCAGATTTCCTTGGCAGTCTTGCACCCTGACACTCTGTGATACTCCTCGGGACCCAGGGTGCAGTACGTCAGGTTCGTAGCTTTTGAGTTCATCTGGAAATTCTTCTTATCGATTTCAGTCCATTTCCCGCGAGCTTCCTTCACTTCGAGAGGACCATCCATTACTATATTCCATAAGTCAGGATTTGTCGATCCTATGAATAACTCCATACGATTTTGCCAGTATCCATAATGAACCCCATCAAACCTTGGTGGCCGCGTTTGGGAGAATCCATATGCCATGAAGATTCCAGTTGCTAACCCCGAGCTCATCTTCTTCGCAGACGATTAAGCCTCTAGTGCTGGAGCCGGGCTCTGATACCACGTGTTGGATTGTCGAACGCGAGACGTTCAACTCTCTTCTCCAGTGCTCTCCCCTTGTCTGTCAAACCCTAATCGCACAGACTCAGATCAAGTGAAAGAAATCGATGGATGAAAATGTTATAGAATAAAATAAAATAAATTATGATTTCAGCTGCTTTAAGCGTGAGATGAAGAACAAAATAACTCAAGATGGGCTTTAAGCCCAGTGTAGTGGATTTACTAATCTAAATCGTTTGGCCCAACTAACTGGATCCAAACCACTTCGTCGTCTTCCTTGTAAAGAAGTCGAGATTGCCTTTCCAGAGTTCTGTTCCTGCAAAACAGAGTGCTGCAACAAGAAAGACACCATCAACTAAAAGATCAAACTCATTCACACAGATAAACCAGATTTTTACGTGGTATTCAACATTGGGAGAATGAGGATCCCAATATCGACTAATCCACGGTAGGAGACTCTCTTCATGAAATCTCCTATGTAAGCACTACTTCAGTGTTTTGTGTTTTACAGAACTTGGTAAGCTACAGAGCAACTCCCAGCTGATCAACCAAGTCAAGCCTCTGGTGTTACAATCTCTTGTTCTAACACCCGCGATTTCCCCATCCAATCTCCCTGATTAGCACCGATAATCAAACTCTACAAAAGACTCTTGTTTCTCAAGCTCTCTCTTTTGTTCTAAGTCGTGAGATGGGAAAACTGCCTCTACCACTCTGTAATCTCTCAATATATATCTAACTAATCAAAATAGCCGTTGGAGAGAGTTATTTTCTTTCCAATTATGTTCTACTCCCTTTTGGCAAGTTTTATGTTCTTCCCCTTTCCATATGATTTTGGATCCGCCATTAACTTCTGTTGCTCGTCCTTCCAAGGTGTCTAAATGGCTGGCATCTATCTGCTTCTCTCAACACTTAGCAACGACAGTGCTACCAAGAGAAGATGAAGAAGAAGATGAGCCATTTCTTTGTATTGCAGGGTGTGATGGGATTGGATCAGCAATTGCAGACTTTTTAAGGACAACTTGTGGTTCGGTTTATAGAATGCTCGAGTCAGCTCTTCGGTTTGGCTATTGTAGACGTGTATATATATATGGCAAAGGCTAGCGTACGTCAGTCGTACGCTGTACACCTGTGTTTACACTTGGGTTTTGCACTTCAATATATTTCGTTGAATCAGAACCGCCGGTTATTATTTTTTAGATTAAATGAATCTTGTGGCTTGGGTTAGAGAATTAGGGACTGGGGTTTATCCATTAGAGATTAGGATATAGTATCATGCCCAAAATTTTGATTAATTCCTGCTCTAAATAATTAAACTCGACTTTTATATATATATAAAAAAGCATAATTTAGTTGCCTCAATGGTTTATATATTATAAAATGAAGTTATGAATCACATGCTGAATTTCTTACATTTTTCGTTAGAGAACTTATTATTATTATTATTATTATTATTATTATTATTATTATTATTATTATTATAGATGGATGCAAAGAGCAACATATCCTTCAATTAATCCTCTTCAATTGGCATGTAGTTTGACTGTCTCCTCTAATCAATGTAGTCGAAAGAGCGATTTTATGTAAAAGCGTTTTAGTGATATGAAAAGTTAAAACCGCTAGCTTTTTAAGTTTTATAATATGATTTTGATGATTACACTTGTGAGTAAAAAGTAGGATTTTATGTAGAATCCTTTTTGGTGACCAGGGAGCGGCAAAAACATAAGTTTTCAAGCGCAATTTTGACTACGTGTCTCCTAATAGCAAGATCCTGAATGGACGTTCTTTTTCGAAGAGGCGAATCAAAGTATAGTACTGAGGAGTAATGGTTGAGTTTTGTGGTGGCGAAATAAATGAATTACGTAATAGTGATCCTACTGCGGCGGCGAAAAAATATGCCGGACGCACTCAACTGAGTGAAAATTATGGTTCGTTTGTCTGCTTCTCTCTTAGGAAATTTTTTCTTAACACCAACTTGAGTGTTTTGTTAACAGAATTAATAAAATCAAGGTATGTTTGTAAACCAAATCTGTTGATATGGTATACTATATGGAAGTTGAAAAAAGGCAGTGGCTAGAGAGCAAACTTTTTTCTATTACAACTTACTGGTTTCTTATTTCAGCCAGAAAAATGCCTTCTGATTGTCAGAAAGCCATTCACTAGGGATGGCAAATTACCCACCCATGAGTAATTATACCCAAACCCAAGTAGACTCATTGACAATGGGTTGGTATGGGTGAAGTGCATATGGATTTGGGGGTTTATAGATGGGTTTGGGTTTGGGGCTTCCATAATCTAAATGGGTATGGGTTGGATATGGATATCCATTTACTTGAGGGTGTTTTAACTACACATGCAAAAATTGGACCTATTTGCAAAACTTGAAAAGTTTAGGTACCAAAATGTAAGACCAAAAAAATTTAGGTACCAAAACTTAATTTTCCATTGATATTTTGAGGACTTATATGCAAAAAAAAAATTAAATTTAGGTACTAAATATGCATGTCTATTAAGTTTGGGTACCAAACTGTAATTTGTATTTGGGCATGGGTACAAACCCAAATCCATTTGATATAAACCCAACTCAACCCAAAGTAAATGGGTATGGGTACAAACCCATCAAACTCTATCCATATCCATTTATTTGGATTTCAAACCCAACCCAATTGGGTTGGATAGTAAGAAACCCATGGGTATGGGCAAAGTTGCCATCCCTACCATTCACCAACAAGTTGTTTCGCCTGTAGTAGTGTTGGCAATAGAGTGGAGAGGGCGGTACCTGAATACTTTCTTTAAGCGCGGGTCAGGTCGGATTAAACTCGTGGGGGTATGGAGCAGGGAAGGTCAATCCATTTTTATAGGTTATTTGGAGAAAAAAATGTTTAAATTCATTTCTTTTACAATTGAACACGAATAAAAAGCATTTCATAAATGAATCACTTATATAGTAAAGGAGTAATTTAGTCTAAATAGTTGAAATTTGAAATATTAAAATTTATTTCGAATACAAACATATGAATTTAGAAAAGTTGAAGAGGAGAAAAGAAATACAATTAATATATAGATAGATATCATTATAAGATGAATGAAGAATGGGGCGGAAAAAAGTGGGGCAAGTCGGAAGTAGTACTCATGCCTCGCCCTATGCTACTATTGGTCGGGTAATGGTTGCCCGAATAGGTTGGAACAGGTCGTGTCAACCGGATCAGGTCAATAATTGACATCACTAGCCTACAACATCTACTTAAATGGTTACTAGAGAACTGAATTCTGATCAAGGCAGTTACTATCTGTAACAAAGTGCCTCTACATGAACATGGTAATGATTGAATAATTCTCAAGGTACTAGTAAGTTTGCTTGACGTTTTCCTTGTACTCCTTTGTCTGCTTGTCCGATGTCCGATCGTTTCTTGACATCTTCTTCCTCTTTTTGTGGATCTTCATAGTCTTATTAGACGATATCCTTCAAATCTTGAGAAATAAAATAGGCTTCATTTGGGCAATCACACAATTCTCCATAAAAAATGAGGATTTAGTTTGAAGATGTGACAAGCAATGTAGTCAAAATCCCGATTTTAATCTTAAAATCTTACGATTTTACGATCTTACCTATGGGTTTCGATCCTGATTTTACTGTAAAATCTTTGAACCTTAAAATCCCATAAAATCCCGATTTAAAACTCTAAAATCCATAAAATCTACGATTTCTACTATTTTGTACGATTTCAAGGTTCATATCAATTGGATCAAAATTAGGCCGGTCAAGTTGGGTTATGCCCATGAACCGAGTCAAATTTACTTTCCCCAACCCAACATAATGAACAACACAACCCCAACCTGAGAGTTAACTCTCAATTTATTTTCATTCTCTTCCTCGTATCTTCCTCTTTCGCACGTCGGCGCCCTACTCCTTTCATCAACGATATCTTCCAGCCTCCCAATTAGCTTGTAATTTGTTCCCACCACCCTCACAATAATCCAAATCTCCATTACATTGCAAGCTTTTGTTCATCTCCCAATCCTTCAGCACCACTAGCCCGACCTTTTATCAATTAAGAAGGGAATGCATCAATCAATGAGTTATCTTTTCCAGATGATGATAATCAAGGAAATATGGTTAATGGTGAAAGTACTTCAAGTGATCATAAGAGTAATGATATTAGTCCTTAAACAAACAAAAACGATTAGAGTGAGGGTGAGGTTGAGGATGATGATGATGATGTGTCAGTGATGTTAATGTTGATCCTAACGATCATATGTGATTTTCTACTCTTAACAATTAATTAACAGGGATATCTATAATGTTTCAGGTTTCTTATTTGTGTGTTTCTATTATGTACAAGAAAAATATATGGATTAGTTGTGTTTGTTTAGCAAACAAACTTATCTTGGGAAGTAATTATGCTTTATGTGGTTGATTGTTATTCAAGATATGCATTTTTATTACTATCTAGTGTTTTAAGTATTTATTTTAATATGAACCTTAAAATCTTACGATTTTACGATTTTAATCTACGATTTCGATTCTACCTCAGTTTTCGATTTTACTTAAAATCTAGATTTTGACTGCATTGGTGACAAGCATGGTACTGGATGAAGACGCTGTCTGTCGTGGCTATTTTTTGAAAAAATTGTCTAGCAAGAAAGTGGAGATTTTTTTAGAAGATAGAAGGATATTGGCTTTTAGGTATTACACCCAAATTTGGTGGGTATTAGCGAAAGTGTAGTATGATTTAGGAACAATCACAAATGAAATATTTGATGTTTCACTCCATTCAGAAAATACACTCAAACACAAACAATGCTTTTGTACTCTCTCTCCCACGTTGCTCCATGTGCATGAATTGGTAATGAAAGTAACCATTCATTGGTCCATCCAATTTATTTCATGCATCATCATGTCTTCCTCTAATTAAGTTGTTGGCCATGGAGACTTGTTATTCAACTCATTATTTGGGTGGTTGCGCCTTCTCATCACCTTGTCAAAACTTGTTGGTAGAATCCTCCATGTTCAAACTTATTGTATATGAGATTGTCCATTTTTTTGGTAGAATATGAGGTTGTCCTTTGATGTGATTGTAATGGATGATAAACTTCATTATTGCAAATTACCTTTTAACATATATTCCAGCATGTATTACCTCAGAGCATATTACTTTACACATAGATGGTTATTTGATTAGAATGCATATATAGATGGTTATTTGATTAGAATGCATCTTTTTATTTTTTATAAGGGGTGTTTTATGTTTCTTTAATTGTGATTGGATGCTATTTAAGATATTGGAACTTCATATCGCCATATTCAAAACTAATGAGATTACTACTAGACCAAGGCCTAGTTCTTGACGAGAATGCATCTTGTTGGCCCTCCATCAGCTCCAACCAGCCTGATAGGCAAGCAATTAACAACGTACTGTCCAGCTTCAATGTCGTCAAGCTTCATGCCTTCGACAATAATGATTTCCTAGAACAACAGCAATTCTGTGTCATTTCACAAGTTGATCAATAGTGAAAAGTAAAATCCTTTTCTTTTTTCTCTTTTCTCTTACCCTGTTCTTCAGGAGAGCTAGATGAGTCGGAACGAGGTCGACAAAGGCAGCAACAGATAAGTAATCAACTCCTGAGATTCAAAACACCACAGGCAAATTCCCAATTCTGTGAGACCATTTCACATCTAATGTTTGCAGAATTCATTTGGCAAGTTGGGGGGTTTTGGTAGCTAACTTCTCGAGGTTAGAAGGATTGGAAGAAGAAAAAAAAACTTACCAACAAGTTTGATGTCTGTGTTGTCCACAAGCCACTGAGCCCCATCGGTCATGAACCCGACATAGCTTGAATCGTAGTTCGTCTGGTACATCAAACGCCTGAAAATGGAACCCACAACCGGATTCACATTCTACTCATATAAATGCCATAGTAGGAAATTTAAGGGTTGCAACGTTTCTTTCGTTTTACCTATCGGTATTCAGAGTCCTGAACAACACACGTCTGGTTCCTTTTGGGATTTGCAATGACTCCATAACTTTAGCTGCGGCACAACAGAAGAAAACCCAGTTCACCAAAACAAAAGACTCCACAAGCAAGAAGCTCAAGTTCATCAGAGAAGCTGTAGCAAATGGTGGTTTGTACTTTACCAGTAATGTTGCTGTCCCTGGGAACATCAATCAACAATGCTGGGCCTGCAAGTAAGAATCGGTAATGAAATTCAACAACAGCACCACAAATCTGAGTACCCATTCCCCATAATCCAATCCAAGACCTTACCAGGTAAGAAACAGGGGAGGAAATTCAAAATTGGACCATTCTTCGGAACTCACAGTTGGAAGAGGAATTTCATCAAACACATAATGGGCAGTACTAAAAAGAAAAAAAAATGGCGAAAGATCGAGAATTTGATTTTTACCGTTGAGGACGTCCAGATCGAGGGACTCGATGGTGTAGCCGGCCTCGAAGTACTTCTGGTAGAAATGGCCCGGCGTGTCGACGTGGGTTCCGGTGTGGGTGAGCAACCGGTTGATCTCCCCTTCGTTATACGACGAGCCGTTCTTGATGCTCTGCACCAGCGTATACAGCTGCCCAATCCCGCCAGTCGAATCGAACTTGGGCAGGTCGGGTTTCAACCTGTGGGTAATGTCGAACAGCCGGCCGTTGCCGTACACCTCCCTCACCTCCGCCGGCGGCACCTCGCCGTTCGCCGGATCCGAAGACCGGGCCTCGTCGGCCGTTACTAGGAGGAGGAGGAGGAGGAAAAGGCCGAGTTCCTTCATGATCTTGAGCATCGTTTGCTCGATTGTCTGGCTATGGAAGGACTGAAGTAAAACAGAAAGAGTGAGAGGGAAAGACTGTGTGACTGTGAGTGCATGTTTTAGAACTTAGAAGTGTGATTTATAGTAACAATTGGGTCGGCGGCGAGCATGGAGGAGAAGTCGTCAATGGTGGCAAAGCTTCAAGAATTAAAGATTTGGGCGGCAAAGGACGGAGACGGGTAGTTGAATCTCCGGATATTTATTTATGGAAAGTTTGGCACCGGCTAACACAAACAATCGGTTTATCTGGTTCATTATATCAGTTGTGAGCACGTTTTCGTAAAGATGGTTCATAATGTTAGATTTTACGTTCAGCGTTTGTGATCGTTAAATAGACGTAATAATAATTGCCATCCTATTTTATCCTATTATTTTTCCACAAAATAGCAATAGATTAAAACTTAAAAGTCTTGTTTTTAGTTGTCCACAAAATAGCAATAGATTAAAACTTAAAAGTCTTGTTTTTAGTTGTTTGCGTTTACGTATAATTGGTTCGAATATTGCATATTGAATTGCGTAGTATTCAATGCGTATTATTGGTTTACTTTTTGGGCACAGACAGTTACTACTGCGAGGGACCATGCAACGTGGAAGGAGGGAGTTCACTCGACGACCCTAATGCGACGAAAACTGTCTATTCCGGCAGGACCATTTTACCGGCGTTCCAAAACAAGATCGAAACAGAAATCCATTCATTTCCATTTCAAGAGAGAAAAAATCATCCAGTCATAACAAACCAATATCAATTGATGTCATTGATAAAGTACGATTTATAGAACCATCCATCCCATCTCATCGCAGACGAGCTTCCGCTGGAGCTAATTACTAACCGTTGTGTGGATACAAAACATGAAACGACTTGCAACAAAAACAACCAAACTACATGCAGCTACTGAGATTGAGAAGGTAGTCGTCGTGGTTGCAGTCGCTGATACTCGTTCCACAAGCCTCTAACTCCTTCAAGTATCACCCAGTACTCATGTATGTTTGCCTTGAATGTGTCGACATCTCTCGCCGAAAACAAGGGAGCAAGCCTGTGCAGAATCTGGCGCGCCAACTGCAAGGCCGCAATGATAAACAGTCTTAAATGTTACAGGTGCTCTTCATGGGTTAACAAGAATCAGAGTGAAAGACCGAAGTAAAGTTCCAAACAGATGAAACTAACCAAATCAGTGCGCGCTGCAGGCTGCTGATGATGTCCTGAAAGGATGGGATTCACAATGTATGGGTGGGAATGAGCAGTATACCATCCCATGTACTCCTCGGCAACATCGAGCAAAGGCTGGACAGGTGTGGAGATGGCATCCAAGCGTAGCATGTGGCACGTTAAGTAGCCCCAGAACTGATTCATGCTAGGATGGAAAATAACGGTATATCCAATGCCAGAAGCAGGTCGGAAGGCGTAAGTTGGTGCAACAGGAGGACCTGGGACTACCTGTCTGTACCCGAACTGTCTGAGACATCGTGTAGGATCGTAAAACTCGGCCACATCACCAAACCGGATCACACCATGGTATAAAGATCTTGGCACCGCCTTGCCAGGGTTGTGACCGTAGGGAAGCCACATCACCTCGGTTTTGTTCAAGGTGTCTAACACTCGACGATAGTATCTCAACCGCTCACCAGCTGCCCTCTCCCCTACGATATGTACACCCTGCCACTTCAAAGCATAAGGCTCCCCCTCTTTCAGTGTATGAGGCTCACATCTAGGCCCCCGTAATGTCGGAAAGTACTGGTATATCCAAGCCTGCAGGAGTGTCAGACAACCACAAAGTTCACTGGCATCAGCTCGAGAAGCCATCCCAAGTTGCCTGTACAGATTGGCAAGTGTACCAGCCCCCCAAGCGTACCTTCCCACCCGATCATAATCCTTCAAGAACAAGTTGACCATGGCAGGAACACAACCATCATTTCTGTCCGCAAAGAGTGTGGATCCCAACAACAACAATAGATAACACTGCACCTCAGCCTCCATATCCCCACGCCCCTGAACACGAGTCAAAGCTGCCTCTCCTAACAACGCACCACTCTTGTACAAAGGTACCATCTTTCCACTAGCAACATCAACAACAGGCGCCACCAACTCTTGACGTGTGACTTTAAGAAGATCACACATGTCAGCCTTAAGACTTTCCGGGTGTCCACCACCACTGAGCATCTCTCCGTCTACTGGAATCCGGAGAATGTAGAAAACATCATGGAGCAATATAGTCATCTCTCCAAATGGCATGTGGAAAGTATTGGTGTCTGGTTGCCACCTCTCAACAAACGCTGCAAGTAGAGGAAGATCCAAATGAGCATGGGTCAGCATGCACCGGGGCAAGTGAAACAACCCTGTCTTCCGAACCAACCCCTCTGAACCTTGTCTTGCAAATCGATAATTTCTCAGCTTACCCATTAGCCAATCCCGAGCATAGAATTGGATCATTCCTCGAACCTGCTCGGGCTGAGTCCATAGTCGAAAAGCTACATGGTCACGAAAACTAGGGATAATAGTGGGAACCATAGGTCCACCTGAACCCTCCTCCAGAAGCACGCACGAGCGTTCTCTCTCCTTCTTGCCTTTGCTAGGGGTGACAAAGGTCCTGTCATCAACATCATATATTTGTCTGAAATGGTCCGGAGGCTCACATCGTGCAACCACAAACTCAGGTGATGCAGTAGAAGAGGGGCCAGACTGGTGTCTATGGGCATGAGAGCCACCTGCAGCTCTCGAGTCAACATATAAAGCCGGATGAGAAGCCTGGCCCTCAGACTCATCGTCCTCATCAAACTCATCGTCGTCAATTTCATCTTCATCAGACTCATCGTCCTCATCAAACTCGTCGTCAATTTCATCTTCATCAGACTCATCGTCCTCATCAAACTCGTCGTCAATTTCAACTTCATCAGACTCATCGTCATCAACCTCTAGATGATTGGCGTACCGCTCATCGTCAAAAGCAGAAGCATGTCTACTAACAGGACGCTGCAAGTCAATAAAGGGGCTCATTAGTCTCAACTAGCTCCTCTTCCTGTCTACAATAACGATCCGAGGCATCAACAACCTACGTCCATCAAACTATGTAATATGCTCTACTCTTCTATACTCCATATTTACTATAAACATATAAATATCAGAATTTTTTATAATAACTGAATGTAACATAAAAACATTACCAAAAAAGTTGAGATGAGTAGACTTTAAATTGGTATAATTTAAATTGATGATATCATTAACATATTGTTGTATGGATAGATAAATTTAGAGAACAAATTGCGTTAGCTTAGAATTGACAAATCCCTCCATGAAAACAAAATTTAAATTAAAGTAGATAAACTCTTATTCCTACCCCGCCATAGCTGTTTGTTGAATGCATAATAAATTAGAGGTACGAACAGTCATCAACAGATTAACCCTTCTTAATCATTATCATTCCCACACTGCGCAAAGGCACATGAAGAGTAAACCTTTTTTTGTACAAGAAATGAAGAGAAAAGCTGAAGGAACCTACCTTGGGACTCTGTTGTTTGGCAACTTTGTCCAAGTGCTCACGATTCTTCCTGTTATCAAATGAAAAAAGAAAATCAATAATGGACAGTAAGGAAGGAATCACCAATTTTGTGGAGGCCGCGATCACCAGGAGGTTAAGAAACAATTGGCAGTAATGCATATAAAGATCAATAGTAACAATAGGGATTTGTAGCATTTTCTGTGGAGACCCGAATTAGTGAATAATAATGGTGGACTCACTCATATTTCTCTTGCTTGAAGCTAGTATACCCTTCTTTGATCTTCTTGGCCTCATAAAACGGCTTAGTTACAGGAGGAGCGATCGAGAGCTCAGCTATCATCTGTTCCATTTTGGCTGCTGCAGCCGCCTTGAGCTCTCCTTTCTCACTGCAGCACCGTATCGAATATGAACTAAATGGGGGGGAAAGAAACTTATTTCAACTTGCATAAAAACAAGGAAAACTTCATTTTTGTACCTGAGAAGCTTATCCAGGCGCTTACGGGCTTCATGGTAGTCCTTGGACATGCCTGTTTATTCGTCACTCTGTTCATAATTTTCAAAATGGTTACCCACTATAGAAAACAAACGTAGTAGCTAGTAGCTTGGTATGCCAGACCCCCATTTTCTCATAAACTCAAAAGTCTGAGACAAAAAACACAGCACATGAACACCTTTCTCTATTAGCAATGCTCAGTCGAATGATACAAGCAAACAGTTTCATAGAAACATCAAACACAACAAGCTGAAAGTTCATGATTAATCCAATCAATCGCTTCTTCAAATTCTAGGGGGCAGATAATGTATAGATACATCGAACCCATCAATCAATTTCTCCGAAAACCAGAGTTTCTTACCCTATTGCTGCGGCTTCCTCGCATTCCGTTTGGGATCGAAGGATTGCTGCCGCTACTCTCTGGCTCAATCTATCTCTGTAGCAGAACTGCAGAAAACTGAAGCGGAGCCAGGAGGAAGTGTTTGGAGTTGCAGGGAAGACAGGAGACGGCAAACGGAGAAGTGACTGAGAGTGCGAGGGTGCGGAGGGGTGAGGGTTTCTCAGCAGCGGGCAGTTGCAGAGTGATTGCGCGAAGAACATTTCTTGAAGACAATCAAACCGGCGGAATAATGAGATTGGGCCTTTGGTTGGGGGAATGGGCTTGTGTGTCTGGGCCGCAGAATGGGGTTTCGTAGTTGGTGGGCTTCTGTGTCTGCACATTTCATCAGAACGGCCACGAAAAGCCCAATTACCTGATCCGACGACTCCTTTACACGTGTCGATCGGTAGGCTTCTCATTTTCTTCACATCCTTCTCTGGTTCACAACTTCGCGCGCCAGCAAGACGATAGACCCTGGGACACAGGCTAAGCCTTTTAGCGCAGAATTCTTCCTTCGGCTCTCTTCTTCACTTCTTTTTACACTCTCTCCACTAAACATGGCGGCGGCGACATCAGCAGTCGCGGCTCATCTCTCACCATCGCTCTCCCTCTCCGTTCGCGGTACTTCACTACCCCGCCTTTTTTTCCTGCAATAATCGCTTCTTTCGTTCTTTCTATGTCCTTGTTTTATGCTGGAATTTGTCTCTCTTATGATTTCGGTGTTCTTCGTTTCAGATGCTTGCCCCGTTGGTTCGACGGCGATGCTTTCCGTTTCTCGGCTACCCAATTCCGGATTTGGCCGAATTGGCTCCACGTTCGCCACTGGGTCTCCTCTATGTAAGGATTAAATCTCCATTTTTGTTGCTTTGCTGGTGAATTGGCTTGCCTTTGCTTGTTCCTCAAACGTCAGTTGAACTGGGTTCCCTTGACTTAGAGATTGGAGTTCGTTAGTCACTAGGATTTCACAGGAGAGAATCAATAGTCATTTTCCAAAGGGGAAACTAGAATTTATGACTTGTTGACTGTACTAGTGTACTTTATCCTGGAATCCCCAATCCTGCGGTTTCTGTTTTAAGATATTGATCCTTTATAGCATCTTTGGCACATCATGTTGCATCATCTCTCGATGAGATGATGCATCTTCATGTACACGAATTTCTGATGGCTATGTGACTATTTACTATGTTTTGGTTGCTTTGCTTGGGAACTTGGCGAAATTGAATTGAAGGAAAAGCTTAAAACTGACTTCAAAGGTGTGGCATTTGTTGTGGTTTCTACGTCTTCTTTCATTTGCAGTGATATCTAGAACCGGACTTGTGAAGGCAAAATCGGCAAGAAGAGCTGCATTAGTTTCTGTAAGAAGCGAGCAAAGCACCCAGGATAGCGGATTGGATGTATGGCTAGGACGGATTGGGATGGTAGGCTTTGCTGTGGCCATCACGGTTGAAATTTCGACAGGGAAAGGCCTCCTTGAGGTAATGCTGTGGTTCCACTCCCACCATCACAGTTGATATATGTACACACACTATCATGGTGTACTGCAATGTTTCAAGCATATTGATTCAAGCTTCTTCCATTGCTTACTTGCAGAATTTTGGGCTCTCGGGCCCCATGCCTACAGCGGCTTTGGCAGTAACGGGATTGGTTGGTGTTCTCACGGCAGTGTTCATCTTCCAATCCTCATCCAAAAGTTAAACCACGCAATTCGACTAGATGCACATTGGCGTTTGTAAACTGTAAGTTTGTATCAGCTGCTCCAGAGATGCTCCAAAAAGAGTGGAGAATGTATTCCAAGATTCTGAACCTCTCTTAATACCTTCTTTCCTGTTAAAGTATGAAACTTTTGTCGACAGCCTGTTTGTGTACTAAACTACATCTGTCTTTCATAAAAAAGGAAAGAAGTTACTTGGACTAGACCACTTTCATTAATTTCACAATGCATTCATTTAATTATCACCCAAATCAAACGCTCCATTGACGGCATTTTACTTGGAGTCAAATCTTTCGGTTCACGCCCAAGTTCCCACTGTTCTTTCTATATGATCAGTCAATTAACAGATAACTTTGTTAATTCAGTGGCATATTTTAGTGGTCCGAATCACCACAAAGATTTGGCCTGAATCAGTAGTATGATATTGTTGTTTGACATCCACGTTCATTGGCTATCTGAGTATGACAGATGTACGTAGCTCACTAAATGGACATATATTCCGTCTCCACTTTTAGGTAACAGTCAAACAGAAGAACGAATATTTCATTCATCTCTTACAAAGCAAAGTATAGATATCTCCTATGATACAATTTGACTTCTATCCAAACCCATCAATTGTTCAAGAACAATTTGAGTAAAATAACTATATTAATTAGTTAAAGGTATTAATTAATATATTTTTCACCTAACTAAAATTAACTTTTGAAATGGAATTATACAAACTATTGTATTATACATTGTAATTTCTACATAAAATAATATTATTTAACATTTTGCCAGCAAGGCATAGGTAATTGTACGAATCTTGGAGTAGTGTCGTCGGGTCGGTCGAGCAGGGAATCGTGATGAGCTTGTGCGGGTTTACCATCGGTTTTACCATGTGGAAGTATCTTATAGAGTTGTACTGAAGGCCAGCACATCTCGAAAGTTCGATGTTCAACATGACCTTCCATCTTTGAAGCAGGGTAATTGTGATGTTAGTTCATACTATCAAGCAGCTCTGACTCTATATGGACTAAACACGACTTTACTTGTTCCTTGGTCTCGTTTGATGCATCAGTCGAAGTCTTGAATGAGCGCGAGTTTTAGGGTTACACGTTTTATTATTAATAATAGTGTTCTAGATTTGAATTACCCAACTTACCATTTATATTTTTATACACAAATGACAGTAGGATAATCATTTTTTCAAATTTCAGGGGTGTCCCTCACTATCAATTATAATTTTTTGTCTATATGTAAATTACCACCGAGGGTTGGATAATCATTTTCCCAAAATTTAGGGGTGTCCGGGGAGACCCCTAAAACCCCCTGGGTTCGCCCCTGGCTAGCGTTGTCATTGCAATTGGGTTGGTGTATGAATGACATTGTTGGTATTGGTATGCTTAATGATGGTATGCAGCGGGACCACCTCTGTTTGCAGAGGAAACGCCTCTGTCTGCGGCGGGGCGCCTCTGTCTGCGGCGGGGACGGGTCTGTCTGTTGCGCGATCGCCTTCCTCGGCGTTGTGGGGCGACGGTGGCGTGGTTGTGGGTCTGATTTTTCGGGCGAGAGAGAGAGAGCGCATGTTGGGGTGTGGGAAGGAAGAAGAAGAAGATAAGAAAGGAAAGGTAGGGGGAAGCCACGTCACGGCTTTAAAAATGAGGAGTTGGCGGGGGCGCTTGAGTCTCTAGCGCCAGTTAGGGGTGGGCATCTGGTTCGATAAACCTGAACTGAACCGGACCAAAATCGAGCTAAACCGAACCAAAATCGAAATATTGTTGTTCTGTTCGGAATTCAGAAGAGGAATATGGTTAATTCGGAAATGATGGTCCTTTCAGCCGAACCGGGAGTTTGAATTCCGAACCGAAAACCGAATTCTGGCCATAACAGCCCAGGTCCTACCCACAACCCAGCCCAAACACACCCTATGCTCCCACCGCCCACTCACTTACACATAGCCCACCGAAATCCTAGCCCACTAGCCCAACCCAAAGAACAAACCCTAGGCTCACAATACCCAAATCCCCATCCCGTCCCACCGAAGACCTCGCTCATCTGCTGCCACCGTCGTGCCGTCCGCAATCAAATCGGTCATCGTTCCTCCATCTTCTCCTTCAATCTGATACCACGACGGAAGAGGAAAGGAGTTCGCCGATCTCGATCGTGAAGTTTCACAAGCAGCGGATGTAGAAGGAGAAGGAGACGCGGATGTAGAAGGAGACGTCGGAGTGCTCGGCTTGGCGGAGCGGCAACATGCATCGACCTCGACGAGATCCTAACACCAAATAAACACAGTGCGCAGCAGCCTCGGTGAAATTCGAACCCAACAAACTCAGAAGCCAATCGCCGACGACAGGTTCTCAGAATGCTCTGTTTTCTCCTTCAATCCTCTGAATCACGATCCACTCCCTGAGGGAGAGAGAGATCCGCGAGAGACAGGAAGAGCGAAGTGCAGCGGCGTCGGCAAACGATTGAAACTATCGTCACCGTCGTCGTTCACCTAGTGGAAGGGGAGACGGTTGGAGGGGGGACATCGACGGAGGGAAGGGATGAAGGCCCCTTTAGAGCTTTTGATTTGTTGGTTTTGTGCAGGGAACTGGGAAGGAGAAGAAACCAGGAGGGGTGAAAGGAGTTACAGAAGAAAAATGTGAAGAGAGAGAGTGAGTGATATGTGATGAAAATGGGAAAGGCGAGAGATATATTTTCTGATTTTCTATGTATTCAGTTTTTAGCTTAAAACCGAGTCGAACCGGAGTATACTTCGGGTCGGTTGAACCGAACCAAATTATATTTCGGTTCGAATTCGGTTGGACCTATAGAATTCGGGTTTATCGAACCGATGCCCACCCCTAGCACCAGAGCCTTAGACTGGGTTTTGGGATTCAAAAAGCGGCCCCGCTTGGGTCTTTGGCGGCTGCACCTATTATCCTACACAAATACATAATATTTATGTAAATACTTTTTAATCCGTCATATTTATGATAAATTAAAAAAAAATATTTATGTCATTTACCCCGGCTTATTTGGTGGGCTAAGATCTGGTGACTAAGGGGGTCCCTTAGTCACATGGCTAAGTGAATCTCAGTCATTGCACCTCATTAAAATTCAATGGCTACAATTAATTTAATTTAATGAAGGGAAAAACAGTAATTGCATGATTATTCTTATTTTTAATTATTAAATATTTTTGTCCTCTGACTCTTCCCTCACCGCCGTGTGTCTCGTCTCTTCTTTTCCCCGCCGGGCAGGCCGTCGCCGGGCAGAACTTTTTCGCCGATTGCTTCTGCTTCTGTTCCGAAACTTTTTTCTCTCGCTCTCGACAATGGCGGCTGCTTCTGCTTCATCATTCACCTCCCTCAAGTCTCGCCCCAGCTCCGGTAAGCGGAGATATCCAGGGGAATTTGGGAAGGAGCCCAGTTCCGAACCTTTTTCTTTTTCTCTTTGATAGAATTTGTTCAAGCATTGACACGATCCAGGGGAATTTCCCCAGAGAGAGATTTTGTACTGTTAGTATGCTTTGTATTGTTTGTACGCTTTGTTATTTTGTAATGTTTGTCGGTTTTTTTTGTAATGTTTGTAAACTTTTTTTATTTTTGTGTACCGTGTTTATCATTTTTGTCAACCATGTTTGTAATGTTTTTTTATGTATAAAAAACACCCGGGTTGACTTTGGGAAGGAGCCCCTCTATATAGGGATGGAGCCTCCAAAGTCAACCCGGGTGTTTTTTCAGTTCGTATGGATTGTCGATATAGTTTGTCATTTTTGTCCACCATGTTCGTACTGTTTGTATGTCTAAAAAACACCCGGGTTGACTTTGGGAAGGAGCCCCTCTATATAGGGATGAAGCCTCCAAAGTCAACCCGGGTGTTTTTTCAGTTCGTATGGATTGTCGGTATAGTTTGTCATTTTTGTCCACCATGTTTGTACTGTTTGTATGTTTAAAAAACACCCGGGTTGACTTTGGGAAGGAGCCTCTCTATATAGGGATGGAGCCTCCAAAGTCAACCCGGGTGTTTTTTCTTTTTGTATGGTTTGTATTGTTTGTCGGTCTAGTTTGTATTGTTTGTACAGTTCATACGTTTGTAATGTTTGTATGTTTTGTCGCTCTAGTTTGTACTGTTCGTATGTTTGTATGGTTTGTACTGATTGTAAATCCAGTTTGTATAATTTGTAATTTTCCATAATACCCAAACTACCCCTGTCATTAATTAAATAGCCCTTCTCACTTTTTAACCACTAGATTGAAGTGTCCAGATCTAATGGCTAGGAGGGGCTTAGTCAAGTGACTAAGGACCCCCTTTGTCATGGGATCCGCTCTCCTTATTTGATTCTTTCTTTCTTTTATTTTTTCTTTGAGATTGTTACAGATCAATATACTTGCATTATCTAAAAATACCTTATTTTAAACATTTAAAAATCACGTCCTTTTCCATTGAAGGGAAAAGTTACAAGCTAGTGACATTCCTCGTAAAAGGGGAGTGTTCTTAAATATCGAGAACACAACAATAATAAACACCAAACTTCACTACATTAATTCGACAATATATGAGAAACTAACGACAGGGATGCCATTATTTTGTTTTACTACTGAATTAATCAATTAAGCTCGCCTTTCCCTACATCCCTCGCCGCCGGCCACGAAGATTAATAATTAGTCCAGCTATTCGTCTCCGTTCTCGGTGGTCTTCTCCTCCTGGCGGCCGGCGATAATCTTCTTCCCCTTCTCCTCCTCTTCCTTGGCGAGCTTGATCTCGTCGGCAGTCATGAGCCTCTGCTCCAACCTTAAGTTGTTGTAATTGACGCCGTTGAAGATCCCGCCATCCAGTCGGGTAACGACGTTCCTCCCATCGGAGAGAAGGTCCCTCTGAGTGTACGAGAACGGGACATCGAAAGACCCTTCAGTCACCACAACGGTGTAATTAACCGTAGAATCCTGGGCGGCTTCGTAGCTTTCGCCCCAAGGGTATTGAACCCCTGACTGTCATAGATAAAAAAAAAACGTAATAAATCCTCATTTTCTCTTAAGTTATTGGAACCAACTGATTTATTCGTTAATTGCTACCTCATCCGAACCAATAACGACCATTCCTTCCGAGTTGATAAAGGGAACGGCGCTGGTTATCGTGGCCTTGACCGGCAAGGTGGAGGACAAGCTGCTCTGCCAAATCCTGCGTTTACACCATAAAATTTATCTTGTACCACATTAGTGAGTTACAAGATAATTAATGAGTTTATAAGGCCACACCCATTATAACAATTAATGTTGTTTAAGTTGGGTCTTATGGATATTGATTTTAAGCCCAAACCACTCAGTCTGGAGAGGGACATGTCGCCTCAACGAAGAGGGCCATGTCCATCTAGAAATTGAGGAGCAC